GAAAGGTCCTCCTAATCTCCACAAGCACCACTGAAATAGAGTGACAAGCCCCTCCATAAATACTGGGCCCTATGGAGGAGAAGAGAACGAACACGGGAGCTGAAGCCAATTTGTATCGTCCTACCAGATTTATGTAAACAAACACCAGCAGAAGGCGCAAGGAATCCAGCTGCAGGTGCACTGAAGAAAGAAAGCAGTTTGAGCTAAAAAATGTGTCAAACACACAGGCACATGGATTTTCTAAGCAACTTTTATGGACTTTCTAAGTAATTTTTATACAAGTTTCAGTTAAATCAAATAAATTGTTCAAATACGCCTTATTTATTTGGTTCTATGTCATAGTATTGGCCCTATAGGGCAATTTTCTTGAGCAACCTCTAAATATTAATTAATTTGCATAAAAACTTTTGACCCAAATATACAACAGTTTTTCAATAGAAAGTGACTCGATGGAGCCTGAAGTACGCCCATGCTCACTTCTTACTTGGAACATGGTGGCTAGTTTGTTAGCTATGTCCATTTAGCTATATTCTACTTGCCCCAATACAGTGTAATCTAAAAGCAGCAGCTCACTTAAACAATGTTTAATTCACCCAAAACACTTTGTACATTGTATTATTTGTTAACTACAGACCGACTGTACTGTTCCGTACTGCACCACAAGGCAGGATGGGTGAAGTGTCTTGTATAAGGACATGTGTAGAACTCCTCAGTCGTCCAGATAGAATCCAGAATCCATGGCAAAGGAGAAATTCAATTTGTCAACTGGACAAACATTTATTTAGGTCAAAAATGTTACACAGCTCATCTAAGCTTGTTTGTCCCTCTGTGTTTTGTCCTTTGGACCTTGAAGAAGCAGCTTAGATCAGTGGCGAAATGTTTTCGACCTAAATAAACATTTGTCCAGTGGCCAAATTGAATCTGAATCCTTTGCCTTGCACAAGGACAAAATATCAGAAAGTTGACACAAGAACTAGAGCTGCTCCACTGCAACATCTGTACTCTCACAGGTCTCCAAGTACTAACCAGACCTGGTCCTTCTTAGCTTCTGAGATCAGACAAGTTTGGGCATTGACAGTGACAAGGTGTTAAGGCCATTAGTGATAAAACCAGACCACAACACACTGTCTGCAACTAATTATAAACGATCTTTATCTGTAGCGAACTAGTAACACTGGAGCCCTGTTAGCAGGCTACAACTTGTTAGCATGACTCATGACAATAAATAAACAGACTCTGCTTTAGCCTAGATTTATTGCCTTTAGCCTGTGAAAGTTGTGAAACACACTAGTGAAGTCACTGTTAGAAAGGGAGGTATGAGTTTGGACTGCAACAATCAGTTTAAACTTAAAGGTTCTATGCAGACGTCATTGTTCTGCCTGGAATGTTCCACAGTGTGACATTAAACAGCACTGCTTTACATTTATTCAATTACAGGTGATTTTTATAGCTCAAAAACACCTCGAAAAACAGGCGTTCTGACTGTGATAGGGGTTGGCTCTCCACAGATCTGACCTATAACCTTAGTCTTTATCAAGATAGAAAGGTTTAATGTCATACTGTGAATAGGGGGAACAGATTTTCAAAATCAAAAACAGGGACGCTCTCAGTTTTTTGGTGGTTGGCAAAAATAAAATTGTGAAACGAGTGCGTAATGAAGGAAAATTTTTCTACATTATTGATTGCACTTATATAGTGCCTTTCAAGATACCCAAAGCGCTTTATAGTTCATTATTCAGTCACTCAACACTCAGTGGTGGTAAACTACTACTGTAGCCACAGCTGCCCTGGGGCAGACTGACAGAAGCAAGGCTGCCAATCTGCGCCATCGGCCCCTCCGACCACCACCATCACTCACACACTCACCACTTTCATACTAGGCAATGTGGGTGAAGTGTCTTGCCTAAGGACACAACGACGGTCTCCCATCCAAGTACTACCCAGGCCCAGCCTGCTTAGCAGCTGAGATCTGACGGGATCAGGCTTTTACAAGCTGGTATGGACACACACATTAGGCCCATTCATGACTAACATGAGTCAGTATACTCATATTTTCTTTGTGTTCTGGTCATTTTTAAGCAGCTTTTCTGTATTTTACCCAAACGAATTATAAATGTATGCCTCTCTTTACTGTTGGCGGGGATCAGTTTAGTTAAAACTGGGACACCTGAGACATTTCTTGTATAAAACTGGGACAAATCATTGGTTTTGGATAAATCTGCTGAGACAAGTTCGTCTGCTTTTAAGGAAGTAACATGACTTAAAGCTCACAAGAGAAGATAAACAGTAAAAATCCTGTATAGCCCCCAGTTAGTGAAACAACAATTAGCAGCTTGCCTAGTTCTTATATCACAACAACTACATGTCATGACCAAAAACCTTACAACGAACCCAAAAATAAAGCTGCAGAAAGAAGCCTTAACTTCATTAAATCATTGATGTCTCTATTTACCTGAACAGTCCCAGTTTTGAGCCCTGTGTCCCCTGTCCCAGCACATTTATCCAAAACCAGTGATTTGTCCCAGTTTTACACAAGAAATGTCCCGGATGTCCCTATTTTTAACCAATCCGATCCCTGCCAACAGTAAAGAGAGGCGTATTTTGTAATTTGTTTAGGTAAAATAAAAAATGACCAAAACACAAAGAAAATGTGACTATGCTGAGTCATGTTAAACATGAATGGGCCAAATGTGGAGCAGTTTTCCTTAATTACCGTATTTTTCAGACTATATGTTACACTTTTTTTCATGGTTTGGACGACTTATATATTAAAATTTTCACCCTGAAGCCGCAAGAGGCTGTAGACTTGTGTGTCATTATCTGCTGTTACTTCTGTACTACACTGTCACTTGGCTCTACTGCGCATGTCTCCTGCAGAAAGAGCCTCTGTCCTGTCTGTATCATGTCAGTCGATCGCAACATTACTTCTGTACCACTGAAAATGTAACATTTAAACAAACTTATAAAGACAACTGAAACCATCCTGTCGGGATTCAGAAATGCCAGAATAATTCTAACTGGAACTGATGCTGAGTCTGACGACAGCGACACAGAAGAGGAAGTGGAGCTCCGTTTACCTCCGGAGGTCGTGGAGTTGCTCAGAAGTGACACCGAGGATGAAGAATTGAATGGATTTAGTGATTTGGAGTGAGATGGAGAGTTTGGTAAACTTGTTGTGTTCTGTTGTTTATGTTATAGTTTATCTGAAGAACTGTTCATATGTGACGTTAACAGTCTGTTGTTCTCTCTTCTATTGTTATTACTAGGTTTGGTCTCTGATTTTATACATTTCCCCCAAAAAGTGTGACTTATAGTCTGGTGCAACTTATATATGTTTTTTCTTCTTCGTTATGCATTTTTTGGCTGGTGCAACTTATACTCTGAAAAATACAGTACACACTCATTTCACAATTTATTATTATCAGTCACCTCAAACTAGGGATGTCCCAGTTTTTTATTTTGAAAATCTGGTTGCCCTTGGTAAAGCATAAAGATTTAATGGACCCTAGCATTGACCCCTGACCTTTACGACCCCTACGACCCTGACAGCACAAAGCAGTATCATATGGACAGAGCGTGGCAGATATAGCCCAGGTCAGAGCTAGTCTTTGTCTAAGCCTGACGCTGTGGGGGAGGCATGCTAACAGAGAACCAACAGGTGCTTGCTTGTTTCCTTAAGGCTGCGGTTAGTCCAAGGACACTTCAGAGGGTCTACAGTTCCTATTATAGAGCTCATGTTTTGTTTAGACTGGAACAGTGGACATGACTAAGATTCCGGCCATTTTGTGTCATCAAACTACAATCTGAAGCGCCTGAGAATAATGGCTGCCAAAGTTAATTTAGCCAGGGTGGGTATGCTATGCTAGCTAAAAGTAGCATGGATGATTACACACATACAACTTTAAACATCTTGTTAATGACTTGTAATGATAAATGATAAATGATGCACCAATTGTAGCTGGTAGGTTGTCAAAAGTATAAAAAATCAGAAACTAATCAATACTAAAACTAATATCAAAACTATATACTCATGTAAGCACGTATCGATGCTAAAAAAGAACCATTCACAGAACAGAAATGAACCTTTAGCTTTAGAATCTTGATCTTGAGCTGTATCAGAACAAGTATAAGCACATAGACTAGTATACACCCTTGGACCACTATGAACCTACTGGATCACTGAGGGATTACACAGTTATAATGCTACTTTTAAAGATGGTACTATTAAAGTGGCATTAGGGGAAAGTAAGGTAAATGTTCTGTATCCTCTCCTGTTCCGTACTATGATTTTCTCTTAATCCCTATTAGTCCGACAGATCCGGCACCAAGAGAACATTCTGAAGTCAAAGTTGAAGTGATAGCAGTAGGGTAAATATGATTTTAATGTAAGAAATATGACACTTTGTTTTACAAAATTCTACAATGTACTGTTTCTTGTGTAGTTGTTAGAAAAGACTACTTGTTGTTGCTAGAAACTGACAACACTGACAAGTCTTAAGAATACTTTTGCTTATAGTATTTACAGTAAATATTCAACATGAGCTTTTACTTATACATATACATTTTTTTTCAATGATTTGACAAAAAAGTTTGCAAGAGGAAAGGAAACCAATCTGGTACAAACTACATTTTGGTTCCTGCCAGCAGTTTTGAATAGTAAAGTTGTACGATTACTTTATACTAAGAAGGTCCTGTTCTGGGTTTAATCCCCAAAGGCTCCTGGTGACCAGGATACTGGCTCAAAGTCTGGAAAAGGTGCTGCAGTGCGGTCGCCCATTACTCCCACAGGTTGCTCTAGTCTTCAAATGAAGAGAGATACATCCAACAATATAAAACAAACATCCTTGGAAATCCATAGTGGATTATATTGCTCACCAGTACAGTAACCCGGCTATACTGGTTGGAACAAAGTTGTAGTAGTTGGGACTCTTGTCTCAGTTCAAGAATGTTCAGATCTTAGTTCCCAGACCTACCTACAGAAGGGGATTAAGTCCTTGAAGTTACACCCACTCTGACCTCTTCTCCTCATCACTCGGCTTTGCATCAGGTCCTGCATTTAACTCCACCAAAGTACTCTTACCCAGTCTGTTGGTACACACCGGCGTTGTTATGGAACCATCTATAGCCAGAGCAGGTACATCTCCAGGTATATCACGTCGTGGAGGGGGCGGGGGTTTGAGTCGACTGCGCTTACTGACACGTATAGACCTTGGCGTTCCTGGTGGACATAGGGCGACCTCACTTCCTTGTCTTTCCAAAACATCTTCCTGATTGGCTGAATATCCGTTGTTTCCGTTGGTGTTTATAGACTGAATTCCTGGTGAACAAGGACGAGATTCTGAATTCAATTTTGCTGGATCTCCTCCTCTTGAACTTTTACTTCCGTGGCGTTTTCGAAAATGTTCAACTTCTGCGATATTTTGCTCTTTCGCTTTCACAGAATTTGATATGATACATTCTTCTTCATAAATCCGTTCTACCAACACTTTCTTTTTGGTGTTTTGTCTCACGGAATGCTTGATGGCGCAAAAGAAATCTAAAACATTGAGGAAAATAGATAGTGCTCCGACTGCTAGCATGAAATTTAGCATAACCGTCTTTTCCGTCGGTCTAGAAATATAGCAGTCTACTTGGGTGGTGCATGGCGGATGTTGACACAAAAACCTCCTTGGAATGTAAAAACCGAAGAGATAATAATGCGCCACACCGAATCCCGCTTCTAATAATGTCCGAAATACAAGATGCAAAAAGTATGCTCCAGTAAATTTCATGTTCAACCGTTGCATGTTGAGTTCATAGGTTTTCTGATCGACATGGAGCGCGTTGGTGGCTTTATGGATGACGTAAATGATGAAAATAGTGATTGGTAGACAGAGGGTGATGAGTTGTACGAGCCAAAAGCGAAAGAGTGAGATGGGAGAGAAGTTGTCGTAGCATACGTTAGCGCAGCCCGGTTGGATGGTGTTGCAGACGAAGCGGTCCTGTTCGTCCTGGTACAAAGGGAAACCAGCGAAAAGGAGCAGTAAAACGCGGAGGAAGAGCATGACGATCAGCCACGCCTTACCTAAAATAAGAGAAGGTATTAGGTTTATAATTCATGAACAACTGACATATACACAGCATTATTTTGCGATACAAAAGCTGTACAAACCTTGCAGTTACACTCTAGTCATGGTAAGCTGCTTCTGAAACTTGTGGCACCCATTGTTTATTAAAAATAAATGGTCATGACTTTTAAAATTACTCTAAACTTGTCAAATTTTATTTTTCTATGAACACTAGTTTCTATAATAACTGGTTTATGATTAATGAAGAAGTACAAAAATACATTTAAAGCCACAATAAATAACTTTTTTTATCCTTTTGGTTGTGTTTATTGCACCGAAAAATTTGCATTGCGTTCTTATTCTAAATGGAGTTGCCTCTCCACAAACCTGACTCTTATTTGACCTGGAGGAGAGCCGCCTCCTACTTGTTCCCAAGAAAATGTTGTTCCTTTGGCGAAAATTTTCTAGCCTGAATCACCTCTGCAGCATTAGGATTCGTTCGTTCGACAGTAGGCAGGTACTTTTTTCATTTAAACAATCGCTGCTATTTAGTCGTGACGTATGTAATGCGCTGCTAACAGGGCTAACTACTATATTAAGCTTTTCCCAAATTCCATAGGAAGAAGGGCAATAATGTCTTTCCTCTTGATAAAATTCACAAACATTATTTTTGATTCAAATTTAAATCCTTGATCTCGGGAATTGTTGCCAAAACAGAATGTATGGCTCTTCGCTGATTGGCTGGTGCCTGAACTTGCACTTCCAGGGTACTTGCAAACGTCTTATGTATTCTGATTCCTGACCTAGTCGCTGGAGAGAAATGAAATTGAGCAGAGGCACTAGGTGGCACCAGCTTGGTTAATAATATTCCACAGTATGGTATAAAACTTATCTATCTCCATGGACAATGTTCTGAAGTGTGGTTTTATCTTTCTATTTCCATGCAGTTGTGCAGGTAACATGCTACCTCCAGAAAGTTACATACTGAACCTTTAAGAAGTATCTATTAATTTATCAGGCTCATTGCTGCAGGAAGGGCATCAGGTATAAAATCTGTTGTATAACATTCATGTAATTTAATTAAACAAATGCTTGCTTTTATTTAAAAATAACCACTATGTAAAACTTTAGAAATATATTTACATTCAGCATATTTAAAGTCCTTGTGTATGTAATTTGCTTTTACTATATTTTCAAGACAAACCACGGTAAGTTAGATTCTGTTCTTAACAGAACAAAGGGCAGGTCAGTGCTCTCTAGCGATGCATTGTGTTACATTTTCAAAAACAAAAGACGTCCATAAGTCCTACGCTATAGCAAACTGTATGTGTCCTTACCCATCATGGTGATGCTCTGATTGACTGAGAGGAAGAGAAACTCTGATGCACTTGATCCCACCATACTTGCTCCGGTCCAGACTCTACAACACTTTTAGATTTTACGTTAAATCTCACATCCACTTTACAGCGCCTCCTGCAGATTCACCGCACTGTACACTCTAGACAATCCAGCCATGTCCAGACATCTGCAGCCCTCCTTTGTACAGTACGATCCACGTGAGCGAGCAGAGCCCAGGGGAGCAGAGTCTCAGCTCCTCTCTCCGCTCAGACAACTGCCAGTCCTGAGACAACAGAAGACACCAGTGAGGCCCATTGTGCGGCTATTCCTGTCCCACTCGCGGAGGCACGTCCCCTCCTGGCATTGCATGGATATTTTGGTGCCACTGGTTGTCCTTGCAGGAGAACAACAAGCCTCCTGGCTCACCCACGCCAACTTCAAGTCGAAAGTTACAACAGCTTTTGAAATCATTATATCAGTACTTTCTAACTGTGTAATCAGACATAAATGTAATAAATGTGGTTGTCTAATACTGGAAATACTTTCAGCAAGTGTTCATTTTTCTACATTTCTCAAAAGTCAAGTATGCTAAGCTATGTCGACTTTTTCAAAGCATCAATTGTATAGAGTTTCTTCCCAATCAAAGGAAAACAAAGAGTTGTTTGTGAGTTTTGTTTCATTCATGCAGGCTGGAGTTATTTTAGCCTACTAAAATTCCCCAAAAAACAAAAAAACTTCGGTGATATGGTGCAACATAAAACAATTAATAGTAGTAAAATATATGTGCTGATTCATCTAGTGATGTCATCAAGTGGTAATCCAGGAAATGTTTTATCAGTCAACACAGCAGATTTGGATCATTTCAGCGATAATACCAGGTGTCTTAAAATCCCTATGACAAGTTAGACTTTTATTAAAACACAGTTAAGACCATTATAGTTAAGATTTTTGCAAAAACATTCACACTTGTTTTCCCAATTTGGTCATCTTCTAAGTTTAAAATCACAACATCACACTAGTAAATTTGATAAGTTACCAAGCAAAACTCCTCTAATGTACACAAAAATTACTATCTGACAAATACAAATATAAGAAGCACCTTTCTTTTGTTGAAATCATATCTAAAGTATCAGAAAAAATGCTGTAAATGTGTAAATTGTGCTGAACTTTTTATAGAATTCTCCCCAGTATGATGTCAATATATTTAGAACTCTATTTCCTGTAATTTTCAACATATTTGTCACAAATTGCTTCTTGATTTATGTAAAACAATTATTTATATTTACAATACTCTCATCTATGGTCATGAGCTCTGGATTATGACTGAAAGGATGAGATCAGGGATCAGGGAGGTGTTCCCCGGGGAAGATCCAGGACACGCTAGAGGGACTATGAGTCTCAGCTGGCCTGGGAACACCTCGCGGTCCCCCCGGAGGAACTGGAGAACGTGTCTGGGGTGAAGGAAGTCTAGGAGTTCCTACTTAGACTTGCTGCCCCGCGACCCGGCCCTGGATAAGCAGAAGAACATGGATGGATGGATATTTACAACAGTTATAAACCCACCAAATTAAGTCAAAATTAGAGAATTATAAAAGTCTGTTGTACACACTTTAAGATATTCGCTCGAATTATCAACACGATGTCACTAATTCAACGAATACAAAGCTCAAGAAATTTAACATGATTACACCTGATCTGTGGTGAACTACTTTTAGTGAATCAAGAGCAAATATGAATAATTTGGACTATATTATACACCACACTGGGCCTTTTCTGTTTGATTTTACACATCAGTGTTGATATAAAAGTAGAGGAGATGAAGAAAGAGAAGAGGGAGGAGAGATGTTGCTGAACTGCAGAGCATCACATTTCTGATGAAAACATCAGATCCAATCAGCTGTCAGTGAACAGTCAACTCACATGTCTGACAGCACTGCATTTCCCATCATGCCTTTAGGCTTAGTCCATGAAGATGAGTGAAGGCAGTCACAGTTGCTTTTTTCCACCTTCACCCATCTTGTGAGATGCGTGGAGCCACCAGGAGCTGCCTATCATGAGATTTTCACCAACTAAGAAGTGTAGTTTGTTTTTCCTTTATTCATGGAGACCAGAGAGCTGGATTTGAACACTGAAGATGCTACAGGCTTTTTACCCCATATTTAATAGCAAATGTGGTTGAAGATCTTCCAGAGGAAACACTTTGAGGGAATGACCCATTTCATCAACAGAAACATCAGAGCAGAGTAAGAACAAGGCCTTTCCTGTTGTGTTCACCTGATGCCCCCTGGAGGCTGCTGTGATGCTGCAGGACACAGAGGAGAGACACTTTCTGCTCTTCCTCTCCTCAAACAGGGAGGGTCACAGATCTGCTGACCCTCCCTGACCAGTCCTCCTGTTAAACTGCACTGACACCTTTGACCGAGGTACAAAGGTGATCCTCAGTTCACCAGCAAAGTAAATACTGAAGACTTTCATGACCAAAAATGCTGAAAAAAAGACTGCTGAAATAATACATAAAACTACACTCACATTTCATAAACTTTCCAAACATATGCATTTCTTCATTGCTTATCCATCACCCGTGCAATATTTAGGGCCTGTTTACACAAGAACGCTTGCGGGTAAAAACAACGAAATATTTTATCATAAGTGCCTTTCGTTTAGACAATGACAGCATTTTTGGGTCTGAAAAATGCAAAAATCTCCAGAGTGGAAAAGTTGAATACGCTCTGCCGTAGCGTTTCCATCTACACTGCCCAAGACGCAAAACTCTGGTCAGATCTACTCACGTCATGTACACATTTACCTCACATACTGTTACGACCCAGCTCTAGGGACAGGGGAAGTAACAGAAGAACTAAGATGGATAATAGAATAAATTAAATAATGTTCAATTAACAAGGATGTAAAAGATAAATTAACAAAACAGACTAAAATATATACAGAAAATAACAGGTCATGCAGGCTTAACAAGTGAAAAAAAACAACTAAGAGACACACAAAACTAAAACACAAGTGCCCCAAAGTAAAACCACATAAACACAAACAGAATCGAGTGACAAATTAAAAAAGGCACAAAACAGAACTAAACTAGTGTCTCAACAAAAACAAAGTCAGACACGTACTAGTATAAACGAGCGACTGACACGAAAGAGACACACACGAACACAAAATGGCATAAGAATTGGCAATGGCAATCGAATTCCACACACTTTTGCGTCACTTTAAGAAAACGCTTGAATAAAACGCGGAATAAAAGTGAAGACGCGACGCTACTTTTGTGTCTTCTGTTCATCATATAAACGTAGCCTTAAAACACAAATAAAAAGACAGTTGTACTTCAAGTTTCAATGTTTTATTCTTCAACATTTCCTAAACATTGTTTTTGAAAAAGAGTAGTTTAGACTTACAAATGGTTTGGCAAAATTTAAACATGAAAATTGGATCTAGTACTAAAGATGAGATGATGGGGGTTATGTAGACAGTAAGCAAACCTACAAATGATGGAGAAGGGAATTTTAGATCACGGCCACTTCATGGTCTTTCGTACAATAAATAGAATATACAATCTTTAAACAATGCAATACTATTTCACTCATTCATAACACATCTGGAATTCATGACAACTCACCATCTCACCGCCTGCCCCAAATGGAAAAGCAGTATGGTACAAGGAGACATGTTGATTGTGGAGAAGCTATTAAGGCATTGACGAATCCTCAGAAAGATTGCAAGCAGAATTAGATCACAATTATGACAACAGACCAAGCTACAATTTAGAGCTTTGGCTTCAATTTCAAAGTCGTAAATTAGAAGTATTTAATTACAACTACAAATCAGAAATGATCAGCTTATACTTTCTTCTGGTTAATATAAATGTCCTTAATATTATGCAGTGTTTTGTAAATAATAACAGACTTAACACTTGCAATTTGAAAGCATTTTGTTGGGTAATACAGTAAGTAATGCAGAAGTACCAGACCAGGACAGTTTTTTGGTTAATCAGGGACATAGAATCAAGAATCATGGGAAAACAACTGCCTGCCAAAATAGATCAGGGGTGTCCAGACGATGATATTATAAATAGTAATCTTGAAACAATTGAGATTTTGCAGTGAGAGGTGTAATGCATATGTGTCTATGGCAGAATGTTCAGGAGTTACCAAGAAAAAAATACAAAATTAATTTAAACAACTCAATACAAGCTTCATGATTCCAGTTTAGGAGATTTTAAACAAAAAGATGAGAGAGACGAACTGTTAAACTGTTGGTTAATGCTAGCTTGCTTGTTGCAGTTCTAACTTGAGTAACAGAGCTTCAGACAGAGCAATGCCTCTAGTTAGGATCACCCCTGCTGAGAATGTTGAATGATGATATCACCTGCAAAGTATCAATTAAGTGAACTGAGTCTGAGGCATTGGAGACCAAATGAAGAAACGCTTAATACTTTTTCCAGTAAAAGGGCCGTTACAAAGTGAAAAAATCAAGGAGTGGGAGAGATACGTGAGAACCATGTGGAAACGACTACAACTCAAACAGGTAATTTCTGTTTTGTGCAATATTAGAGCAGCAGAAAGGCCCTGTAACCGTTACTACGCTGCAAAACAGCTTGGCCAAAATTGAAGATATAAACACTTAAATCCATCAGAAAATGACTTAAAAGTAGTGAAATTATCTGTCCATGCAGCAATATCATTTTAAGATAACCTGTGAAGTAAAATAAACTACCTCTAGACTAGAATTAAACAGCCTCAGAACTAGTAAATAGATAATAAATCTGAAAAAAGCTTAACCTGATATAAGTTTTAAAATCCTGGCCAGATCAGAGAAATTTGCAGTGTATGGATTTAATTTCTGCATTATAAAAAGCGTTTCAGATTCATGCAGCTAAAACCTGCAGCAGTCTTCGTTAAAATGTGAGACAGGCCTCTACTTTGACGCTGTTTAAATGCAGAACTGCTGTGCACGACTGAAAGGTTTTTGTTTTTTCATTCCACACTCTTGTCTTTTAATCTCTTAATTTAATCTCTCTCTCTTTTTAATTTTATGATTATTTATGTTTTGATTTGTTTGTATTCTGACATTAATGTATTTTTTATTCTGTAAAACACTTTGAATTACTTTGTGTATAAATTGTGCTATACAAATACCGTGTTTTCCACACTATACGGTGCACTTAAAAGCCTTTAATTTCATCAGAAAACGACTGCGCACCTTATAATCCAAAGCACCTTATATATCAATTTATTTGGGTGTCTTAGTACGACTTTAGTAAACTCCAAAGCCGCATCACTTGCAGCATTACGGCTCCCGTAGTCAGGAGCATCGCGGAGTAATACACACTGTGATTCCTTTTAATATCAAAATGCACCTGCCAAGAGACATGCTCACAACGGCCACTTTAAACTCAAGGCTGTTATAAAGTTAAAGTGCGAGCTGCATGGGAGCAGTGGATGAGAGAAGAAGAACACACATTCACCAAGACAGCAACCGAGACAGCGCCGAGCGACTTACTGCCAATGGATCGTGGACGCCTGGGCTAAGGATCAGTATCAACTGTGGTCTGAGCTTTCACCAAGACCCGAATCATCACTGAACTGCCAGGGAACAGTAACCACTGACACGGGTAATGACGAGAGGGATGCGGGCGTGCTGGACGCCGTCATCGTCAAACTGTTTGAACAACTATGAGTTACTGTGAATACACTAACAATTTAGTATCTATTTAGTATCAGTATTTTTTGACGCGTTACAATTGAACAAAGTTGAGAGTTATTGTGAACGCGTTAAATAAAATTTTATTGACTTATCTAACTATTGTGTTTCATTTAATGCGCCTTATAGTCCGGTGCGGTTTATTTGTGAAAAAAGTTTGAAATAGACCATTTTCAGTCAGTGTGCCTTATAATCCAGAGCGCCCTATAGTGCAGAAAATACGGTACACTTGCCTTGCCTAAAAAGGGTCTAATAAAAAAAATAGGACTCTTGTTTACTCATAATTTCATCCACAAAAATAACATAGTTTTGGAGTGCGATTTTATAGAAATATTTGACAGAGGAACAGAAGGAAATTAAATTTGAAACTGAATTAGGTGTGATCATTCACAATGATGTAAAAAATAACATAAAATTACTGGAAATTCTTTTACCGAATTATCATGAAAAGCATTGCAACGAACAAAGTGGTGTCTCCCATTTAGACTCTTCTTACTGTACAATAAAACTAATATAAATATTCTAACATCAGTCATCCATTTTTTTTTTTTTCCACAGAAACACAATAAGAGATGCTGTATTTACACTGTAGAAAACATAATACAGTTTATTTTGAAGCTTTTTAAAGAGGGGGTATTACACTTCTATGGGGTATTAACTTAGTCCCCTCCTCCCTGTATAAGTCACTCCCCCTTCAGAGTGCTCTCATATTACAATCAACGTGCATCCCATTAATAAAACTACTCCACATCGCTCCAGGTTTGTGAAGTTGTAGCGTATTGTTTTGTATCATGCTTTGCTTTTTTTAATATACTTATGAAACGTCAACTGTAAGAAATGTTCAAATAATTGTAATAATGACATAAAACGTTTGCGTAATACCCCCTTTTTAAGCTTTTTAACAATTCTAGCAACATACAAACCCTGAAGATTCATGCTTTAGTGGTTTAGAAATACCAGTATTTTTGTGCCATGGAAGAACAGTATCAAAAATTAACCAATAATAACATAATTTGTTCTACTTTTCAGACCAAAAGAGGGCGACATTGAAGCTTGATACAGGCACATTAGGTCAGGACAATGGCAGTGAGTAAGAAAACACGGGACAGACAGCGACCTCTCGTTATCTCATCTCCTTCTGCAACGAATAGTCCCTCTGCGTTGCTTAAAAATGAAGCAACACACCGGTATTGCTTTGTTTATGAGTATGATCGGCCGGAAAAAGGCGTAAAAGCGAAGATTTCCAGACGTCCCTTGAGCAAAACACTGATTTGGAGTAACAGTTGCAGCGACAGATGCGAGATGATGGAATGCCAAAACGAGCAGTCCGGAAAATATTTTAAAATGACGAAAATAACACAGGAATGTACACAGTCAAAAAAAAGTACTGCGTTTTTTTTTTTTCACATTTAAAATCCCAGTTGTACTTCCAGATTTGCAGTCATTTTGGTTCAGTGCAGTCAGTGGGGTTCCTATAGAGACTCGTAGAGAGTTTTTGGGTTCCACAGGCCCACAGTTTCCAGTTCCAGTCCCAGTGTTAGGAAATAATGGCGGGACACCACCTCACCACGGTCAGGTTGTCTGCGCTGACCGACCGCTTCTTGGATAACTTCCTCAAGTTTTTGTAGCTGTCATCACATAACCGGGAGATAGCCTGGGGAGAGCAACAAAACAAGAAGCAATTCAAAGGTTTGTAAAAGTAGCAAAGTTGAAGCAGAAACTTCAGAAGAACTAATTAAGGCCCCGTCCACACTACTGCGTATTTGAGTTGTTTTCGTTGTGGATGCAGTGTGTGTCCGCACTAATCCGATGGACAACAGCTCCAGAGACAGAACGATCTGGTGCCGCCAATTCATTTGAGTAAGGATCTGATCCGGCACTATGTGGATGCCTGAAAACACTGAGTCGCTGATGTGAGTCTATGCGCCGTGAAGTAATTCACCGCCAAAATGCTAAGAGGCTAGAATATATGTCCATTCATATATATGGTCTGTGTGTACGACCTGCAGACATATAATCTCCTTCTCCAACGCGATAGAAGAACAGAACAGACTCACCATCAGCAAAACACCCCTCTGTCACAGAAAGAATACATATAATCCACTGAGTCATGTCCTTTAGTCCAACAGAAGCTGAACCGCATCAGTGCACAATAAAAAAAATTGAACTGTTTTTTGAGCACTTCCTTTATGCAAATGAGCCATGCAGTTTTAAGTTTCGTTTTGGTAAAATGTAAACAAATATGCTCAAAGCTGTGTGGATAGTGAAGGCTTTTGGACACAGAAACAATGTGTCTGGATGCAGATCGTTTCCAATATGGTGATACGGTCATTAATTTCAATGTAAACGTAGCCTAAGATTCAAAACAGGAAGTGCAATTAAATATGGAAGGCACTCACTTGGCTTTTTGAACTATTCCATGCTCAGGGTCAATTATGAAGTGTTCTATGACGAGCACACACACACACACACACACACAGACACATACCTGCACAACTAAACTGGGCCATGGCAGTGACATCATCACAGAACTCTGCTTGTAACATACTAAAATGCTAAGTCTGTAGTGGAGAAAATAAACCCCGCACCCTGAAATCTCTTAAATAGATCTCAGGCTGATATGAGTCCCACTGTGATAAATCCATGAACTGACAGAGGAGTGGAACATCAGCGTGGAGCTTTGGCCCCAACACAGCATGCCTTAGACTTTGGCATGTCTGGTTTACACTCACTGTGGACAAATGTACCAGGCATTAGGAGCTTTCCATGCTTGAGCACGGTTCAATTGGGCCAGTGTGAGCAAAAACTTAAACTTGAACTTCTTACTACTAATGTAATTTAAGTGTAAATAAATGCTATAGTATAAGCTATGTATACAGGATTTAAAATCAGGGTGTGCACTATACCAGGAAAATTAGATAAATTAGATGGACGATGAGATGGTAAGTGTCTGTGTGAATGTGTATGTAAGTAAAGGATTTTCAGACTCAAATATGCATGTTAAACTTCCTGCATACTGGTTGTAAATTCAGCACAGACATGACTGGCTTCTCACCTCCAGTTTTTGCGCCTTGTCTCGGCTGAGCGGCTCCAGGGGGAAGCTCAGGTTGTTGGCCTCGGCCAGAGAGCGCAGGTCAAAGTAGTACTTGGCATAAACACTGGACGGCACGTTTATGTTAAACTGTAACAGCTCCCAGAACCGACGCTCCAGCTCATTCCTAACACACACACAGGAACATCAGGTTAGAAAAGAAAGAAAAAAGCTGTCCAAAAAAGAATAATACTGCTAATATTTGCCAAACAAAACAATCGAATGTACCACATTTTTCTCCATCTATTCAAGAAAAACAAAAAATGAAGTCCACTATGTACTGTCAGCATCTAATTTTAAACAGTTTTCTTGTTCAGGAATCAGAAAGTGCACTGTTAGCATGCTAGGAGTTGTTAGCATTCCCATGACAAAAACTCAGTTCTGGTGTCTTAAAGTTGTGAAAAGCTCTACTCATTGTGGTGAATAATTAAGATGATCGTAGTCCATAAGGTAAGTGAGGAAGAACTTTAGACTACTACAAACTAAACAGATACAGAACAACTCAAATGTTGTGTTTTGTGTTATTTAGTGGCCATTTAACATTATGAGACTTTCTGGGCCGACTATAACCCCAGAACAGTCTTATTACATCAGTATATGTGACAAAATATGAACCAGTATTAGGAAGACAAATCCAGTATTGGATGAGTGCATAACTTTGATCCGTCTGAGCTCAGTATTGTGCTACCTGCGTGAGAAGCCCCTCTCCCTCTCCCTTGGTGTTTGGTGCACGCCCACACACACTTACAGCAGCAGCAGAAACAGACAGGTTAAATTTAGAACACTCTATAGCCCCACATGCACTGGAGAGTGATGGTGGAGCTTCTTCAGTTTCCCATAAAAGATTTTATAAATGCCACAGACGAGTGTTAGGTAAAGTTTACAAGCATTTTACAAACAGGTTCTACGGAAACTCATTTGGAACTATTTAAAGAGGCCGTAGTAGTTTTGTTTTCTCAGAGCAACAGATCCCCAATAAGATATTTTCAGGCCACTATGCAGGACACATTTTGAACATTTCCGGGCTTTCTTAAGCACAACATGGATTTCTTTAGCTTTTTAAATATGTTACAAACATATTCCCTCATTACAAACATACCTGCAGTTGTATTTTGTTGCAATCACTCATTTATTTATTTATTTCATTAATCCTGTTCTTCTTGCTCTGAGCCTCACAAATCAGTTTCTTGAAAGAGTTATGGGACAGATTGAAATCCAGAGATCTCCTGGCACTTTAAGTCCATAAACCGTCACCAGCCTGAGCATGTCTGCTGTCAGATTGTGTTCATTACATCTGCAGGTTTACATAGCATTACTCAGATGTTTTGGTTATTTCAATGATTCATTCCCACTGCTGCCAGTAGATGGCGTGCCAACACCAAATCCAAACAGCTAATGCGGCTGATCTCCACAGCTGAAACTTCATTTCCTTAGAAATCCATTTCTCCTTCCATGTGCATTTCCTTAGAACACAATTAAAGGGCCCATATTACACCACTATTCTGATCTGTTATAATGTTGTTTCCTCATTATAAACAAACCTGGAGCAGTATTTCGTTTCATTCACACATGTTTAACGCACAAACCCTGCATATTTAGGCTGAGTTCTTCACCCAAATAGGAGGAGATAACAACACTATAGCATGACTTAAAGCTCATAAGAGTGAAATTTGTGTAATATGGGACTTTTAACGTTTGTCACTGAATCTTCTACAGAAACATTTTAAGATTCCCCACATCCACCTGCAGCGTCTCTCCTCATCCCTGCTGTGAGACTTACATGTCCTCCACGGTGATGTCCTTGAGGATCTGGCAGTAGTCCACGTTCCACACTGCCTGGTCGTCCCACACTTTGGAGGCCAGCAGAATGGCTCCCAACACGATCCTCTTCCAATTGGCCGGACAGATGTCGATCTCTGCGTACGTGAACAGTCTCTCCAGATACACCTGTGGAGCAAAATACACAATAAGACAGGATTTTTTTGCTTGTGATAATTATCAAACTTTATTTATTATTTAACTATTTTTAATGTATTATTTTAATATATTATGGGGGAAGAAATGCATATTTGGTTCATATATTCTTAGTTTAGCATCATAACTTATATTTAATAAAGAGTAAATGCAGTGGTTGTCACATTAATATTCTGATGCACTGCACACAGCAAGTAATGTAGTGTAGCCTGGCTGACTGGTAGAAATAATAAATATAAATAAAATAAATAAACAACAGTAGATACTAAATAAAACAAATAAATATATAAATAAATAATATTATAAAATAGAAAATACATGACTGTTCTACACAGAGACGAAAACATTTTACAATGTATTATTTTTTCCTCAACATGGTCGGGTGTCATTTCATCAACACTCAAATTATATTTCTTTATGAACATCACAAATCTAGTAAAAAGTACATGTAAAAGTCATGGCCACAGTTGGGAGTGTCTGGAGTCATTTCAAATATCTCTTTGTTTTCGTTTCATGACATTATCTACTGAAAATAATCCATTCTTAGTAACTGAGGTAGTGACCTTAATCAGGCGGCTGGTATCTCAGTCTAATTTCACATAATTACACACGAGCAGTTTAAATCCTTCTGTTCCTCCATGTCCCTCTGTACATGCCTTTGTCACAAGTGCTTTGTCCTCCTCATGACTTCCAAGGCTGGCCACAAACCAGACCTACAGCAAGTGTCAGGAAGTGAACACACACACATGCACATGCGCGCACACACATGCACACGCGTGCATGCACACACAGGCATACACATACGCTCAGGAGAGTTAAATTAACCCTGGCTTCTCATCCAAAGGTCAGGGACAAACAACAGGAGGCACATTTGGACCTATTGTGGCGCTCAAACTATTTTACTTATTGTGTACTTTTGTGTACTAGTTGAACACACAACATACACTTACACACTGAAGAAACACATTTGAGGGCATAAAATGTATATTAAACTCAAATCAGCAGAATGAAAATAAATCAAAAGTGTGGTCAATATTTGAAAAATATGCAATATTATTGAAGTACAGTGTAGCCTGCAATTAAGAAAACTGAACCTGTGTCCCCACAGCCTTCAGCTGCAGACAGAGGACATTTTGTCTCATTCTCAGTATATGGACAGACCATATCTCATGTGAAAGCTCAGAACCTCCAGAATTCACTCACTGAGCTGCAGAGGCTGCACTAGTAGCAGTAGTGACCATTCTTCCTTTTAGGTTTTAAAGAACCAAAACACCAAGTCATAGCATAAAAATCCATTTAGAATAAATTGGTATGAAATTTAAATTTAAAATTTTAAACATTTTGTTCCTTTATACTTCCCAAATCAGCTGTTCATACTTTTCAAATCAACCATAGATTTTTATTGGTCTTTTCACAAAAATCTTTACTATGGCAAGAGAGGGTCAGGCTCCACTTGACTTGTCCCCCACACTGTGCTCTCAATTAGTATTCCATGACTAAATGACTTAATGAGGAACTGTATGTCATTAGCAGTCACCCTACAGTCAGCACACACACAGACACAAACACACACATGCAGCCACACACACACAGCCACACTCACCAAAGTGACAATGGCACACTCTGCAGTTAGCTGTGCTGCACTGAACAGGGTCCTGACGAAACGATAGATCTGTTTCGGTTCGGGGTCGTGCTCGTCATAGTCGGGAGGGACCTCCGATTTCTACACACACAAAATATAACAGAAGATTTAAATGTATTTGATCCTTTTGTGGTCCTCTATGATCTATAAATGTTACATGAAATTATAAAGCTCACCCACTTACCGAGAGCGGGTGCTGTTTCTCATCAAAAATATCTAATCTAAACGTTCTCCATCTACTTCCCTGGGAAAAAAAAACAGACAAAAGAGTGAATTTGACCTGGTTAGAATAAAAAACACATTGTGCACATTTGAATTAGACAAGGCTCACGCTTTCTGATCAGTATTATTTATTTATGATTTTATTTTAAAATGTATTTTTTTTAAAACTGAATATCTTGGCAATATAAAAAAAACTGAAACAGATGGATAGGTAGATGGATACATAGATAGATAGATGGATGGATAGATAGATGGTTGGATGGATAGATGGATAGAAGTTAATATCATGATTTCCTCCATCACTATTTTGATTCCATTACGATTCATGTACTCTTAGTCAGGAGTAGGTGTATATATGTTAATAAAAACTGTGCTCTCAGCCCTTTGATGATCTGCTGTTTTGGTCATTGCATCATATTATGATTCACTATTTCTATATTTACTGCAGTTCCATACTCAAACACAGACAATTTTCCAAAACATATCTTGCATTTATTCAATTACAAGGCATGTTTATTACTCAAAATGACATGTCCATTAAGAACAACTCAGCATCACAATTGTTTTCAGTAAATGATATATTTGATTTGAACAAACCTATCTCGTATCTGAGGACACAAGTCATGTTGAAATTAAAAATAAAAAACATAAAAGGCCCATATCACTCTATTTTTGGATCTAGGTTTCCTCATCACAAACAGACCTGGAGTTGCGTTTTGTTTCATTCACACATGTTTAACACACAAACCCTGCATATGTCAAACAGAAAACACTCTGTTCCACCTTGTGATTTCATGTGGTAATACAGGGAGTGCTCCACTGTGTTTTTAAACTCCATACACCTTCACTAAAAATCATTTGGATAATTTGCAGCCCTGGGGTTGCCACTCTCTACTGAATTCAAGGTAAAAGGAGCTGTTTACTTGAAAACTCCCACTTCAACATGTGACTGCAAAGAGGTCAACAACGAACAAGTTGCCCACAGTTCACTTAATAACCAAAAATTAACTGTCTAACATCGCATTCTCTTTATACTAAATTTCTACCACCAAAAGGCTCGAAAACACCACAACAACGCCAAGATGTCATATATGTTGCCGCATCTTCACAGTGGATGGCAGGTTGATCAAGCTATTTTATCGGAAAAAGACAGAGTTCTCGTGATTCGTTTTGGTCATGACTGGGACCCCACTTGCATGAAGATGGATGAGGTTCTTTACAGCATCGCCGAAAAGGTGAAGAATTTTGCAGTCATCTACCTGGCCTGGTATCTACCAGACTTAAACAAGATGTATGAGTTGTATGATCCCTGCACTGTCATGTTCTTTTTTAGGAACAAGCACATCATGATAGATCTAGGAACTGGAAACAACAACAAAATCAACTGGACAATGGAGGACAAACAAGAAATGATAGACATTGTGTAAACCGTTTACAGAGGAGCAAGAAAAGAAAGAGGTCTTGTAGTTCTCCTAAAGATTATTCTACAAAATACAGATACTGATGTTTTTATTTTATATTGTGATTATTGTTATTGGTCAGTGTAATGTTTGGATATGTATACTTTTATATATGAAAGACATCAGAAGATACTGCCAGCAAAATGGACAATTTATAACAGTGATGTCCAAAACGTGGTCTTAAAATGATGTGCTCCTTGCCCTCTGTTTATATGCAACTCCGATTTAACAATAAATGTGCTTCATTTGAAAAAAAAACCAAACTACCACTTCATGACATCACAAGGTGGAACAGAGTGTTTTGAGCTTTGGAGATATAGACTGACTAATAATAAAAAGCCGCTCATCTCTTTGCATCTGACCTGTAACTTTTTCTTCCAGCAGAAGAACTTACAAAATGCAGCTTTAATTAACACATCAAATATAAATACAGAATGGATATTTCCAACACCCGAGACTCGCTCCTTACCTGTTCTTTATGTGGTAATATATTGCAAGAGACACACTGCAAACACAAGAACAATAGTCAAATTGAATCCTAAAAAAATACATGAACCCTTTATAAATCCTCTAGTTTTGTGTGTTACCATTTGATTGTGTATTTGAGGTTGGGCTGGCTCACGGTGCAGTCGTCTAGGAAGATGGTGGAGCAGGAGCTGTACTTGCGCCTGCTGGGCCCTAGGTGGTGCTGTACGGAAACACAAACAAATTGGCAGGTTATATGGGTGCATGGGTGTAGGGACGGTCTATGTAAAACGTCGCAAAGTCTGTGTGTCCTCTGTGAGGGTGAGCAGCATGCAGGAATTTCAATTACAGTGAAGGGCAGAGGAGTGGTCAGGAAAATAAATGACTAAGGCTTTTAAAGAAGACATATTGTACTTGTGTCTGCTCTAGAGTTCTAATTGGCGAGACCCGTGGATCATTATGTTACAACTTAATAAACTAAAAACTGTGGTGCCCAATGGGAGCTGATGTCACAAAAATGTCACAACAAAGAGATAGCTGTCAACACATGCATTTTTTTGTTTTCATTTGTGCAAAAATGACTCTGTGACGCTGCCAAAACCTACATGTATCACCGATTAAGAAAATAAAATTGGAGCACAAAGTAAGTACAGATCAGTGGGTGTGAACCAGTGGTGGTGAACACAGGGTTAGATTGGCAAAATGGTGTCTTGAAAATAAGCGACAAAAATTTACTTAAACATGAACAAATCACTCAAAAGGGTAAGAGGGGTAAATGAAAAAGAAACAACTATAACATGGTTAAAAATAGGTTCACTTTAAATAGAATAATGTTACCTTTTTGCAAATTACCATCTTTTAGCTTTTTATCTCTGGTGTTTTGAAATAGTCGCAAAAAGTGACGAAAAAAATAACACTGCTTGAGGAAATCTGCATAACCAAAAATAAAGGTGCATTGAGTAACTTTTATGAGTGAGCATGCCACTTGCTTGTGCCAAAGGTGACTGCTTTGAAAATAATGTTCCACAGTATGGCATTACACATATAAAGCTGGTGTTTATTGTTCAAAAATCCTCTTAAAAAATATGCATTCATGGTTAGAGAAGAGTCTCTTCTAGTTTGATTCATCAGCCAGTTTCACTTGGTGGAAACCGTCTGACCTTGCAGCATTAGGATTTGTTCGCTCAACAGTAGGCGGGTACTTTTTAAAATTTAACCAATTGCTGCTATTTGGTCGTGACATATGTAACGCGCCGCTAACGGGGCTAACTGGTATATTAGTATATATATACTGGCTTTAAATCCTCAATCTCGGTAATCGTTACCAACACTGAATGTCTGTCTTTGTCTACATCCATCTCGACCGCTTTGTTTACTGTTGTGCTGTACAACAAAAGGGACCCAGTCACAGCTCTTCGCTGATTGACCAGTGTGCGGTCTATTACTTCTGGGGTTCTTGCAAATCATCTAGTGTATTTTGATTCCTGACCTAGTCGCTGGAGAGAAATTTAATTTCTAGAAAGAAATGAAATTGAGCGGAGGCACTAGGTGGAGCCAGCCTGACTAGATCTCTTCTCCACAGACCTGTAAACTGCCTGATTCTATGGAGATACATTTTATGACATACTGTGGAACATTTGGAGAAAGCAATATTATCTCTGTGCAGACAAAAAGAAAAGTTAATGTGCACCTATAGAGTTAAGTGTCTAACTAGAGAAAAACACATATGCTTGTATGTATAACTGATGATTTGACTGTAAAGAAGAGGATGGCTCTTCTCTAGATTCTAAAATATTCAGTTTTTTCACCAAATGTTGAGTTCGATCTGTCAATTTTATTCACCTGGCACTAAACAAACACCACAACAGTGATTCAAAACAAGCAGCGCAGAGAAACTAAAGTGATGTGGAGAGGGGACAATGGGTAATGAAAATATACAGTAGTATTTTAGGACATTACCTTACTTTCCGTAATATGTGTAAACTTGTGAAAAAGGACAATGCAAATTAACAACACATTTTTATCACTAATTGTACTGCATGTTCGTTTCTGTTTACTTACATGGTTGATGTAAAGGCTCTTCCGCTTTTCCCGAACTAAAAACAAACAAACAAGAAAAGCAGAAATGTCAGAAAGACTTTAAGATAAATGCAGTGCTCTACCCTCACAGACAGGGGGCAGCATATGTCCACTCTGTCTTGGCTCCCCATCACTGTACACTCACGCACAAGCACATAAAAGACATAAAAGACATTATTTAAACATAGGGCTGAACAGAGAAAAGCAGCCTCAGTGAGAACTACACATTATAGACAAAATATTAGTATAGTGTGGGTGGATATGTTTAACACTGTGGACTACAATTCAACATGACTTAAAGTTGAGAGATGTAGTAAGTAGTAAGTAGTAAGTAGTGGGTAATGGGTAGTAGGTAGTTGTAATAGTAATAGTAGTAGATAGTAATAGGTAGTAGGTAGCAGGTAGTAGTAGTAAGTAGTAAGTAGTAGGTAGTAATGGTAAGTAGTAAGTACTAGTAAGCAGTAAGTAGTAGGTAGTAGTAGTAGTAGTAGTACTACTAGTAGTAGTAGTAGTAGTAGTTGGTAGTAACTACTACTACTACTACTAGTAGTAGTAGTAGTAGTAGTAGTAGTAGTAGTAGTAGTAGTAGTAGTAGTAGTAGTAGTAGTAGTAGTAGTAGTAGTAGTAGTAGTAGTAGTAGTAGTAGTAGTAGTAGTTGTGGTAAGTAGTAAGTAGTATAGCAAGTAGTAAGTTGTAGATAGTAGCAATAGTAGTAGTAGAAGTAGTAGTAGGTAATAGTAGGTAGTAATAATAGTAAATAGTAATAGTTGTAAATAATAGTAGTAGTAGTAGTAGTAGTAGTAGTAGTAGTAGTAGTAGTAGTAGTAGTAGTAGTAGTAGTAGTAGTAGTAGTAGTAGTGGTGGTGGTAAGTAGTAAGTAGTAGGTAATAGCAGTAATAGCAGTAGTAGTAAGTAGTAGTGGTAGTAAGTAGTAGGTAGAAATAGTAGTAAATAGTAGTAGTAGTAGTGGTAAGTAGTAAGTAGTAGGTAGCAGCAGGTAGTAGGTAGTAGTAGGTGGTACGAATAGTAGTAAATAGTAATAGTAGTAGGAGTAGTAGGAGTAAGTAGTAGCAATAATAAGTTGTAGGTAGTAGGTAGTACATATAGGTTAAAGTACATTAAAGTAAAGGTTGAAGTAAGTAGTGACAATGATGAAGGTTAGGACCAGTCTCCAGGTAATGAATGGACAACCAATGTGTATGTGTGTGTATGTGTGTGTGTGTGTGTGTGTGTGTGTGTGTGTGTGTGTGTGTGTGTGTGTGTGTGTGTGTGTGTGTGTGTATATGTGTGTGCGTTTGTGCGTTTGTGCAAGAGGCAGCGGTAACGTATTTGCCCACTAATGAAAAGGTTAGTGGTTTGATTCCATTAGCAGAGATAGGTAGCGTAGCCAGTAACTATTTATACTCAATTACTATGAGCCAGTATTTTATCAAATAACAAGACAGTATGTATTCAAAACATACACTTATGTTAGAGTACACAGAGTGAACATGAAACTAAAGCATCACTAAGTAACTTTGCAAAGTCTAAATCCATAAGCACTATCCAAAAAAGGCACAGAGACTAGCAATACACATATTACTCTATTTTCTGATCTATATTCTAATGTAGTTTCCTCATCACAAACAGACCTGGAGTTGTGTTTTGTTTCATTCATACATGTTTAACACACAAACCCTGAATATTTAGGCTGAGTTCTTCTCTCGGACTGAAAATACTCTGTTCCACCTTGTGATGTCATGTGGTAATACTCCGCACACCTTCTCTACTACAAGCATTTGGATTATTTGAGCCCTGGAATTGCCAATTTACTGAATAAAAGGAAGCTGTTAAAGAGCCATAAGACACCTTCTTGAAGCTTAACACTGACCCTAGGCAAAATCTGAAAAATCCTCCAGAGTGGACGGTGTCCGGTGAGTTGGGGGGTGTGGAGCGGTCTGTGGAGCGGTCTGTGGAGCGGTCTGTGGAGCGGTCTGTGGAGCGGTCTGTGGAGCGGTCTGTGGAGCGGTCTGTGGAGCGGTGAGTGACAGCCGATTGACAACCACAACAATCCAAAACATCACGGACCAGTGCGCTCCAGACATTTGTGCTTGGATCACAGCGTTTCACTTTTCTCCAGACACTCCGGAAAATCGCGGTGCCCGGCGGTGCCAGGTTGGGGCGGGGCTGAGAGGGGCTACTCACGTACCACTCGTAGATTCCAGTGGCTGTGCTTGTCACATAATAACTTGCATCTGAATCATTGGCAGTCGTTAGTCCAACCTGAAACTTCATATGTACTAGCTGTAGTTGATCCTAAAGAGACCGTTACAGACACGGCTTTTGACCCAAATCCCCGATTTTTAAACAAGTATGCACTAAAATGTCAAAATAAGGCCAGGGATAGATGCACATGTCTATTTTAGACCCATTTACACTAGCCAGGCTGGTGCCACCTTAGTCTCTGCTCAATTTCATTTCTCTCGAGCGACTAGGTCAGGAATTGGAATACACTAGACAGTTTGCAAGAACCCCGGATGTTGTAGACCACGCACCGGCCAATCAGTGAAGAGCTGTAAAGCCATGATGTCAAACTCAACACCTGTCTGGGTCCCTTTTGTGGAAAAGCACAACAGTAAACAAAGTGGTCGAGATGGATGTAGACGAAGACAGACATTCCGTGTTGGCAACGATTCCCAAGATCGAGGATTTAAAGCCAGAACAAAGAGAAAGTTTGGTGAATTTTATCAAGGGGAAAGACATTATTGCCCTTCATCCTACGAGATTTGGCACATTACATACGTCACGACAAAATGGCAGGAACTGGTTAAATAAAAAAATACCCGCCTACCTTTGAGCGAACGAACCCTAATGGTCAGACGGTTTCCACGAAGTGAAACCAATGAATCAGGCTACATTTACACAGCTCATTAGTAGAAAAAAAGTGATTTTGTTTAGTGGCCCTTTAACTTCAAAATACCACTACATGACATCATAAGGTGGAACAGAGCATTTTGAGCTAGCATTTTTAGACAAACTAATAATAAAAGATTACTCAAACATGTGTGAAAGAAACCAAACGCAACTTCAAGTATATTTGTGAGGAGGAAACAGCATTATAACATGGATAAACACTTGCAAGAGTCAATTTTGCGTAATATGGGATCGTTAACAAAGAAAGTCATAATCCTATAAAGAGATACTACATACACTAAAACGTATAAGGTGAAAAACAGCATTAAAGCACAGTTATGTACTGAATACATGGACAGTAAAGGGTACGTGGAACTGCAACTTCATCTACGAGGAAGTCAAAACTATAAACAAATTAATTTCCAAGTCATTGCACACTTTCCAGTAATCACTGTCGACAGAGCGAAACAAACATAAAATAATTTCCGCAATTCAATACAATATTACTTTACAACCATACGCAAACAATAAAATAATCAATAATGAATAGACTGTTACTAATTTGCAGTAAATGAAGTAATATGACGTAAGTATACCAGTCCAGTATTCCTTTACTGTCCATGGAGTAACACTAGCTGCAATAGAAGACAATATAGAGTACAATTATACGGTACACAGTACAGTTTGAGACGCCATTAATATGCAGACATACAAAAAAGCGTATTATTATTATTTTGAATATTATTAGGCACATTTAAAAACTAGTTCCTTGCTTGCTTACCTCTTTTGTTGGTAACTGGTGCTAAAAAAACACAAGTATGTTTTTGTTCAATGTGTGATAAGAACATGTTTAGAGAGCTTTTTTTACATTATATACAGTAAAGTCTGCATTTAAAGAGTCTATAATCTACTATTTTAGATCTGTTATAATGTTACCTTATCTCAAACATAAATGGAGTTGTGAATTGTTTAATTCAGACATGTTTAAAACCACAAACCCTGCAGATTTAGGCTGAGTTTATCCATCCATTTTCTTACTTTCTTGCTTTATCCGGGGCCGTGTGCGGGGCAGTAATCTGAGTCTAAAATCTCAGTCAAATGCAGCTTTACGTTGGGTAACAGCTGATGCATGGTGTTACTTTTATTAAAAACATAACTTAAATACTACGAATGCAATCAAAACTCTTATTTGAACAAATCCTGTACTTATTTGCTTGTTGCTAATGCAGTATAAAATGCCATTAACTATATTTTCCTGATTTCACTCATCTTGAACACGTTTTCTTCCTTGTTAGAAATCGAGCAGCCCATTTCTTGCAAAATCGCATTTCAATTTTAAGTTTTATCGTGCTTTTTTGCAAACTTTGACTCACGTCAATGAATCGACATGTAACAGCCAGACACACACTCGCTGCGAGCATGGGCTGCTGGAGCGAATCAAAATCTACCCTCAATGTGTCAGTTTAGGCAGAGTTTGTCTCTCAAATTAAAAACCCTCTGTTCCACTTTGTGATGTCATGTGGTAATACAGGATGTGCTCCATTGTGTTTTTAAACTCCATAAACCTTCACTAGAATCATTTAGATCATTTTAGACTTACATTTGCCAAACTAAGACTCAATACTTATGCTTCTATTGAACATCGGTGGTCCTTAAATCTGAGTTAGTTTTCCCAACATCTGTTGTAAATGCGCTCCATTCCCCAAGAGTTGGGGAAAATATGGATGCACGAGAAAATTTTATGTCCAGCCAACTCGGTCTGCACCGAACTAGCCCAAGTTTGTTTCAGAATCTTGATTTGATTGGCTGTTCCATTGCATTTTCTCAAGGTGGAAGTCGTTTTTTCCTGAGTTCCGAGCACAATAAAATGCACCAGTAATATACATTTTGATACCCAAATGATAATTTTAGAAGCTCCACCAATTTTTATACAATATTATAACTTTCAACACAAAATCAGAGTATTTGGTAATTACACTATGTGTCCTGACAATAGTTCTGTTAAAATTCAAGATTGTTCAGGAAAGATTAACTTTTCTAGTATTGATTCTTGCTTAAATGAGTATCTTGTTCTGATACTAATTTTAGTATTGATTTTGATCTGATTTCAAGTATTTTTGACAACTCCACTGCAGAGTAAAGTCATTCAATTAAGGCTAAAAGTTGCTGTTAAACTTCAAACTACCACTGCGTGACATCACAAGGTGGAGCAGAGCATTTTGAGGTTTGGGAATGCAGACAGGATTACTCAGACATGTGTGAATGAAACAAAACACAACTCCAGGTATGTTTTTGATAAGGCAACGACATTCTAAAATGGCTAAAATCTCACATGAATGAGTTTTGAGTAATACAGGACCTTTAAAACAGAGTTATTGTTCAGAAAATCAGTTAGCGAATTTCCCAGCAAACCCAGCACATGATATTGGAGTCATTTATCCTCCTTACTGTTCCATTCCACTGCAGGCGAAAAATAAAACGGAGCCACTCGTCTTTGTAATGTGAACTGTGTCTGAACTAAATCCAACAATATCACTTTATGAAGAAGTGCAGAGTAAAAGCAATATGGCAGACAATGGGATTACATAAAGAGTACAACGAAATGAAGAAAGTATTGTTGTAGCACTGTTTATTAACTACTGATGACATTAAAGCTACACTGTGTAACTTTCTGGATGTGTAGTAGCTGTAATAAGTAGTAAGTAGTAGTAAGCAGTTGTAGTAAGTAGTAAGTAGTAAGTAGTAGGTAGTAGGTAGTAAGTAGTAATAGTAGTAAAAAGTAGTAGTAGTAGTAGTAGGTGGGGACTTATGAGTCGTGACTTGCGTCAGACTTGAGTCACTATTTTTAGGACTTAAGAGTTGACTTGATAAAATGAACTAAGACTTGGGACTCGACTTAGACTTGAAGGTCAGTGACTTGGGACTTGACTCGGACTTGAGCCCTGTGACTTGAGAAGATTTGAGAAGCACTTTTAAATCTGAATTCTTTCTATTCTGACTGTAACGATTCACACTAAGATCCTGTCAAGACATTTAAAAAGATAAGATTAACTAAATTAATTTCTACAACTCTTATATACTCCAAGACTTGCCTATATTTGACTTGGGACTTAACTCAGACTTGAGGTCAAAGACTTGAGACGTACTTGACACTTGCAAAACAAAGACTTGGTCCCACCTCTGGTAGTAAGTAGTAACAGTAGTAACAGGTAGTAGCAATAGGTAGTAGCAGTAGTAGTAGTATGTGTAGAATCCCTCACACGTCCAGGTAGAATACATTGCAAAGGAGAAATTTAATTTGTCAACTGGACAAACATTTATTCAGGTTGAAAACATTTCATAGATCATCCAAGCTGCTTCTTCAGTTCCGGTCAGACGCTGGTCAGCACTTCCTTATATCTGCTGGAAGGAAGGAGCTAACTATAATGAAACTAACACCCTACTTGTTTACACTTTCTGTTTGTTAGCTAGGCCTATTCATTTGTACTGAGTGAGGGGTCATATTAGCTGAATCATTCAGGCCCAATATGAGTGACCTGGCTACCCCTACTTTTTTGTTTTAGGTTTGTTGATGGAGTTGTAAATAGGAGACAGATGATGTCTGAGGCCTCCATGTATGTTCAAGGAAGGATTCTTTTAACAAAAATAGCCTCTTAAACTCCCCTCTCAAACCAATTCTTTTCTCTGGCTCACATCTGTACCTCACTCTCCTCAAAGGAGTGCTCCGTGGCTTTTAGGTGGAGATTTACAGCAGACTGAGGTCCACTATTGCCCTCTCGTCTGTGTTGGTACATCCTCTTGAGAAGTGGCAGTAGCAGTAGGTAGCAGTAGGTAGTACTAAATAGAGTAAGTAGTAGTAGTAGTAGCAGTAGTAGTAGTAGTAGTAGTAGTAGTAGTAGGTAATAGTAGGTAAAAGTAGGTAGGAACAATAGTATTAGTAAGTAGTAAGTAGTAAGTAGTAAGTAGTAGTAATAGATAGTAAGTAGGGAGTAGTAGTAGTAGCAGGTAGTAATAGTAGTAGTAGTCCCTCTTCTAGTTAAGTATGAGTCAGGTTTATGGAGATGCAAGCCTGCTCATAGTAAGCACGCATGTTTTTTATAAATAACATCCAAAATGAAAGAAAAAAATAAATTCTTTCAATTTAGTCAAATTTTTGGTTAAAAAGTTACACAGTGGGGCTTTAACTACCTGCTAACAAGCCTGTGCAGTCATACCTATCCATGAGGCTTTGTTATGTTAATAGCAAATGCCAAAACCTGCAGTTATTTTAGAGATATAATATACTCGAACAGAACAATACTTCATTAATAAAAGTAAATGTTTTTACGAAGTGTTTCATGCCGCTACTTATGCAACAAGTGTTCTTTTACAATATTAAAACTTATAGTTCTTTGAAGACAATTGTGTCAGTGGCAAAAATGACTTAGTTTTATCATTTTTCTTACCATCAGTCTGGGATTTGCTGAGGAAGATGGTACTGGCCCTGGGGTGGTCTGAGGGGTTGTCCTCCACAGGCAGATCTGAAACAAGACAAAGTTAGATATAGAAGAAGGATGAGCAGATTTTCAAATTCAAAAGCAGGAACAAGCCCTTAGCATGGTTGGTAATAATAAAATTGTGAAATGAGTGCGTAATTAAGGAAAACTGTTCTGTACTCGGCAAACTGAAGACTAAATTTGTGAGTCAGTATAGTTAAATTTTTTGTGTTTTGGTCAATTTTAAGCTGCTTTTCTTCTTTTCTTTTATGGCTGTCATTACTGTTGGCAGGGATCACCAGGGACACTTCTTGTATAAAACAGCGACAAATCAGTGGTTTTGTATAAATCTGCTGGGACACAAAACTGGGACTGTCCCGGGTAAATTAGGATATCTAGTTTCCCTATAAAGGAGATGTAGCACTTAAGCAATTCAATACCAGGAGACCTCTGCCTCACTTTTTCCAGATTTATGACATCATAGGTAGAGATCCAGAGTGTTTTTGGAGGCTCATTAAACTGGCTTCATCAAACCAGAGTGAATAAGGCAAAAAACATGTACGTTTTAATGAGAGAACTACCTCAAAAAAGCCAGTTTTGCATAATAGGGGCATGGCCGGATTAGCCATATGGGCCAGTGACACCAGCGGCACCAACCAGTGGGGGGGGGGCACCACATGACACAAACTTTAAAAATATTTTACATAAATTTGTATGTTATTCACTTGAAAATGTTAAATGGCCATACATAACTCCTCATTAACACTAATTTCATAATAACAATGATAATAATAACAATAATACTGAACAAATCAAGATTACATGACCATTCATTCCCCATTACATATGAGAAATGCCCTTGTTTACGTGTACATAAACACATAAACATGGGGGGAGGGGGTAATTTAAAGTGAATGAACTTATTGCAAAATCGAAAAACACATATGCCAGCCAACAGTCAGCGGGCCTGTGTAAACGGCCATTTGCAGATCAATGTTCTGAGCACGCAGCAGCAGTCCGGTATGGATCTGTCTGAGCACCGGTCACTGTGGTCCTGGAAAGGCCCCAGCTAGCGTGGTTAGCATTAGTACCGGAGTCCTAGCACAATAACACAACAGCGCCCCGAAGCCCAGAGCACATGGAGGAGTGTGACAGCATCCACGTGTTTACACATCCAACACTCACTGCTGCAGGTTCAACAGAGATCCAACAACTCCAGAGACATGTGTCCAACTCATAATGTGTGTCAGGAGAAATAGTGGAGAACTACAACTCTGCCATGAACTAAAGTGAATGAAAAAAATAAGTTCTTAAAGTCTTATGGTGTAACTGATCTCATGGAGTGTGGCATAAAAATGTTAAAAAACAGGCTCGCATTTTATAGCACTTCTCTCTCTCCGATGGATACTCAAAGTGACTTACATCAAGAACCCACTCACTCGAGGAGGGTTTTGTGTCTTGCCCATGGACACAATCTCAGTATTCACCTGTGGCAGCAAGGATCAAACCACCAACTTGTGGTACAGTGGATCTGGCTCCTCTACCAGTGATGTTTACGCCAGAAGAGATATTAGAACAAACTCATATGACTATCAGGGTGGTTTTTAATCTGCCAAAAGCATTATAGACTAAAATATTACAAAAACAAAGACTATTTATTAAATTTTCTCAAAGACACACTCGTGCACTGAATAATAAAACAATATTACATTCTCATTTTCAAAGAGAGTTTCCAAATGGCAGATTACAAATATCTTTTTAATGTTTATCTTGTGTAATTTTTTGCCAGTTTGCAACCCCAATGTTGTTCTTTGTACTTGATAGTTGCAATACTGAAAAACTACTGAAATTATCATAACTATTGGATGTAGATATCGTATCATCAAAAGTCTCACAATAATACCGTGGGCCATCACAATATATATGGAATTACGCATTTCTTTACCTAAATTCATTGTTATAGTGCAAAAACAGAGAGAACTACATAGACCATGATCCTTTGCTGTTTCAGGCCAACGTACATGATAAAATAAGTGTTATTCAGCACTTTTAAATCTTAATTATTTGGATTATGACAAGAGAAAAGCAGCATATTGACAATTTTGTTAGCTTTTCATCCAACTGTGAGATGCATATCGTGAAAATATCGTATCGAGAGATTTGGATGTAGTTATAACCCTAATCATAACACAAATCAAGCAATTTAAAAAATATACAGATCAAGTAGACTTACTACAATAGTATGGCCTCGCTAAAAAATGTTAACTAAACTTGAAATATTTTTAACATAATTTTTGCACTAGTTGCCTGTTCTGATTATTATACGATACTTTTAAAATACTGTCAGTATTTCAGTATGCTACTTTCATTTGGGATGGTACAAGTTCTCGTGCCACAAGATCTCGCTAGACAAAACTGCCAAGAAAAAAAAGAAAGAAAAGAAGAACATTTTTTTTTTTTCCAAGTGTTTACATTTGGATTGGAAAATAAAGGGTTATGTGTTGGTGAGTTGCATCTCTTTAACAATTCCAAAAAGCAGTGCTACAATGGAAGCAATAAAATAAATACAAAATTGGAAACTGAATTGTGAAAATGTATATATTAAAATCTCGTATCCAATCTCATCTTGTGGAAAATGTATCTCGTTCCATCCCTAAATTTTACCTATTAAAATTCCTTGACAAGACTAGATTTAAAAGTGCTTAATAACAGTTATTTCTTGGTGTAATCTGCACTGAAACAGAGCAAGGGATCATGGTCTATGTAGTTCCATTCCTTCCTTCCATGATATGCCTCTCGTAGTACGATATTTATTTAGATATTTTATGGAGGCTTACAAAATTATGAATTTGCTACTTTTTTCTTCCGCCTTGACGAGACTTTGGTTCTGTCATAAAAGAAAAGAGTTAAGATTAAAAAGTGCTTAGAACAGTTATTTCTTCATGTAATCAGCACTGAAACGGAGCAGAGTATCATGGTCCGTGTAGTTCCCTCAGGTTTTATAGGTATATTGCTGCATTATAACTATTTATTTAAGCAAATAGACTTGTCATTCCATGATTTGTTATGGTCCATGATATTATTGATACTTTTAACAATACGATATTACGATATTTCACTTAGTGTCACATTCCTACTGTGTATATGCTCTGATGTCTCGCTATAATGTTGGCAAGTGTTTTTCATTCAGTTAAATACATTGGGGTTTTGGATAGGCGTCTTATCCTTTTGCCCGGGGCCCTCACATGGACGGGACGGGCCCCTGTGACACACTACACCTCTGTTGTTTGTACAGTGAATCCTGCTGAAGGCTGCTTACGCTACAGAGCTCCCCGAGGTCATTTAATATCCTGAACCAGCAGCATTAAGGACAGAGTATATTGACACAAGTCCACTCTACTGTGTACAGCTTAGGCATTAACTCAACAGGAATTACAACTGCAAGATATGAGCATGAGTTTGATATAAGCAGTAGAAGCAGTAATATTGTACTTTGAATATACAGTAGTATATACAGTGTATATACAGTAGTATTTGGAAAGTTAAATTAAAGCTAAAATGTCAAACTTTGGACAATACAAGCCTTAAAGAGCCTATATTATTCTATTTTCTATGTTATAATGTTGTTTCGTCATTAGGGCTGGGTATCTTGAAGATGTTGTCGATACGGTACATACCTCGATACAGTGCACTTTAAGTTCGATACGATATATTTAAAATCAATTCGATACAGTTCAATAAAGAATAATGGCTAAATGATGGCTGTGATATGAAAAGTCTTTGTTAAACCACTTCTTGTGCAAAGTTAACATGAAACACAAACATTTTAATACAAAAAAAAAAGTTAAAATGTCAAAAGTGTCGCATAAACAACTTTCCTTCCTCTAAACAAGCAACAAAACTGTGGCTTTGTAACAAAATAATTTAGTAAAATATACCATAAAATACACTGGGCGATATATCGATACAGCAGTCCCCGATATCGATACTGTTTCGTCACATTAAACAATACGATATATCAACATTTCAGTATTTTTGCACACCCCTATTCTTCATCATACCTGGAGTTTTGTTTCATTCACACATGTTTAACACACAAATCCTGCATATTTAGGCTGAGTTCTTCACTCAAACTGAAAACACGGTACCTCCTTGTTATATGATGTGGTGATACAGGAAGTGCTCCACTGTGTTTTTAACCTCAATTCATGCTCACTAGAATCATTTGGATGATTTCAGCTCTCGAATTTCGAATCTACACTGAACTAAAAGGTAATTTTTAACTTGAAAACTACCACTGCATGACATCACAAGGTGGAGCAGAGCATCTTGAGGTTTGGAGTTGTAGACAGACTAACAAAAATGTGTGAATGAAACATGTGTGAATGAAACAAAACACAACTCCAGGTGTGTTTTTGATGTGATAACATTCTAACATGACTTAACGCTCACAAGTAAGTACATTTGCATCTTCTAGAACCTTTAGTACACAATAGGGATGTAACAATCACCAAAATATGGTATGGTATCGTCAGAACTCTCACAGTAATATTGTGGTGCATCACAATATATAGAATTGCAAGGTTTCTCTTAAAAGTATTAAATTATTAATGAAGCACTTTTAAATCTTGTATTGTTGGAATGTCAGTAATGATTCACAATGAAGACTGGTTAAGGTATTTAAACGCAAAAAAATAGCATACGTACAAATTCTGTTAACCCCTCCACAATATCGCAATAATTATCGTACTGTGAGAGGTATATGGTGATAATATCGTACCGTGAGATTTGGATATCGTTACATCCCTAGTGTATAACGTTGCATAAGCAGCTGTTGAGGTCAAAATAGGTCAGCTGTGTAAGGTCTGCATCTGACACGTTCCGTTTTCTGAGAATCAGGAAGTTTGTGGTTTAGCATGCTAGTTGTGGTTATCTTAACCGTGATGACAAAACTCTGCTCTGGTCTCAGAAAGTTGTGAAAAACTAAGTACAATTTATATTTCCTTGCAATATAAATATTTCATAAACCGACACCACAATCTTGA